AGTGGTAGAAGGACCCTTTTCTACGCTTTTCCGACGTATTGGGTATATAGGGCTAGACACATATTTTATAGACCAAAAGGCACTTGGTGGGTCATGTGGTCACATCACACCTTTACTTCCCAGACTGTACCTAGTACCCATTCAAGCATGGGTCGACCTGGGAAGCAAGGTCATTTCTGAAAAAAGTCCGGTCCCCGTCAGGAATCAAACCCACGACTTTCCGATCCACAGGTAAACGTCTAGCCGCTAGACCATGTCAGCACCCATATATATATGTGTGTGTGTGTGTATATATATATATATATATATATATATATATATATATATATATATATATACACACACACACACACACACACATATATATACATACATATATATGTATATTTTTATATATATAAAACAGCTGTGAATCTTGGACAATTAACAAATAAGCGGTACAATATGTTGAGGCCCCGGAGATGATGTTTTACAGAAGAATCCTTAAAATTGATTAGACAACCAAGAAGAGCAATCTAGATGTTATGAAAGAAATTAGTGATGTGGGGGGACAAACCCGCTGCCTTTTAACAAAGATGAGGTAAAACTAACATTAGTCTCCTCATTTACACACTAGCTCACTTCTGATTGGTCGACTTTGAACCACATAACCTTGCCACAAGGTTACGGAGGTTTTCCGCAATGCCGTTTATATCGCGTGTTGATTATTTCAGCACACCAGCACTTTTAACACTCCAAAAACATCGATAGACTTGGCCCAACACAAAACCCCTTTAGAGAGTGATGAAACCTATGTCACAGGCATTCTCTTTCTTGGAAAAAAAACGTAAGGGCAAGACAACCCAGAAAACAAACAACAAAGCGGCACACCCGTAACATGCAGGAAAGTAGACCAGCCCAACAAATTTGTCAATGAAACGTGACCTACTTTGTTTGGGGAGACTAACATAAAACTAATCCAAAGATGACATAAAAGAGGAATAATCAGAGGTCTGTTTACAGTTGGATGTACTGGGACAAAAGGTGCAGATATCCCAGCCTAGCTGTAAAGTAAAATTCAACATAATGTGCCAACAGCCATTTAAGGGTGAACACAGGAGAAGGAGATGTGACCATTAATCTCTATGCTGTTATTCGCCCATCACAGGTGAGGATGACCAGTCCTTTCATCCAGTGGTGACTGGATTAGGTTTTGTAAGTCCACAGATGGCTATTAAGGCCAATTCTAGCACTGAAAGTTCTTGAGCAATGTGGACAGGGAATTGAGGCCACATCTCTCTGGTGATTTGCTTCAGTATCTTTCCTAGCTTGTCTTTTCTGAATTGCTGCTGCAGTTCTAGCAGCTTCATGGGCTACATCTCCTCAATGAAGAGAGAAGCGCCAGGGGAAAGAGCAACAGAGAGAGAATATTTATGAAAAGACACAGACACTGATAATTGGCAGACAGAAGACAGAAAGGAGCGAAAAACGAAAAGAGAGAGAGAGAAAGGGAGAGAGAGAGAGAGAGAGAGAGAGAGAGAGAGAGAGAGAGAGAGAGAGAGAGAGAGAGAGAGAGAGTCGGTGAAAGACATGGGAACATGGCAAAGAGAACTACACTTAGGGATTTGGGAAAGAGAGAAAAAAAGACCCACATGCAGTGACTTCGCAGGTTTTAGGGTCTTTCAGTAAAGTGTTGAGATTGTCCTTGAAACGTTTCTTATGTCCATTTATGTTTTTTTTTTTGTGTAGCTCACCACAGAAAATTATTTTTGGCAGTCAGTGGTCAGGCAAGCAGACTATATGACCTGCCCAGTGAAGCTGCGATTGTTTTGGAATCAAGTGAATACTGGGCAGTCCAGCTCTGTCAAGGACTTCAGTGTCAGGGATCCTGTCTTGCCATTTTTGTTCAGCAACTTTTGAGGCACACTGTGTGGAAATAGTATAGCTTCTTAGCATGGCACTGGTGAATGGTCCATGTTTTATATGCATATCGAAGTACAGTGAGTACAACAGCTTTGTACACTTTGAGCTTCGTCTGCTGGCTGATGCCAGCTCTATTCCAGACTTTTGTACGAAGCCTATCAAATGTGATGCTGGCTTTGGATATCCTTGTATTGATCTCTAGATCGATATGAACTTTTTGAGCGAGAAAGTTACCAAGACATGTAATCCTGTCTACTGTCTTAAGTGTTCTGCCCTTGACTGTGATGTTTGGTTCAGGTAGACTTGTTACTGGGGCAGCATGTGGTAGATTACAGACAAGATAAATCATTAATCAACTGTTTTCTTTATTAACATACATCTACTACATATTTTATATATGTTATATATAGGTATATACTTTTAAGTATACATATGCAATAACCAGTGGTGCAAGTACACAATTGCTGGTGGTTTCAATATAAAGTAACAAATAATGAGTAAGAGTAAACTGATATGATTATTTTAGTTAACAATGCGTACATAAGCAAACAACTTAAAGTCTCATGGTTTATATAAAAACAGTGGAAACGACAACACAGATCAATTACCATCCACAGATCAATTCTGCATCCATTACAAACTGTTGATTTTTTTTTTGGAGGCCAACTTTATGCGCCCAGTGTTGAACATGGCCCTTATTACAAATAATGAGCATAATATCATAACAATGGAGATTAGATTTCTTAGAAAAGCTGCCAGAGTAACTAGAAAAGATTAAAATCAAAAGACTGTAAGACTGAAATCAAGCATACATTCAAGAAGAACAGATGAGATGGCATGGACATCGGATAAGAATGCCCTGGTAACAACTGACACTGAGAGAACCAAGCCAGAGAAATATACTAAACAATAAGAAGACCATGCAAAAGATGGTTACACTGGCATCAAAAACAGCCTTCAAGAAATGAAGATTAATTCATTCAATGCAACAGAAAGAGCACACAGAGAATCCTTACATCTCGAGAATCCTTACATCTCCCACCCACCCACCCCCAAAACAAACACTTCAATGAGGTAACTGGAAAAGAGAAAAAAAAAAGAGAACAAGAGGATAACATACTACTTGCCATACTACAATTACCATATTTGATTTCCAGAACTTTCATAATGAAATGTATAAGGACCTTTCTTTGCACCATTCAGGCTTATTGGGCAAGGCCTATATTTTATAGACCAATCGGCACTCAGTGGGTGATGTGGTCAGCATTGCTGCGGCCAACATTACTTCTCAGGCTTTTTACCAGTACTCTTTTAAGGCTGGGCTGACCTGACCTGGGAGCCAGGGTTATTTCTGAACACACAAAAATTGGTCCAGCTCCATTCGCATGTTAACTCATAATCTTTGGATCCGTAGGCAAGCGTCTAGCCACTACACTATGGCAGCCCCTAGTAAAATGTATAAGCTTATAATATCCATTATTTTACAAGAAGAATATAACTTGCAGTGCTTAAGAGATTCCTATTTTGCAGGCAATAAATTATTTAATGTTATGTTATCACAAGTGACATCACTGCACATTGGGCATTTCCATGCAAGCTCAGTCCTCCAATGCAGCAGCCACCTCAAGGTACTTCTTCTTCTTCTTTGCGTTCAACAGCTGTAAACTCTGGAGGAAAGTTTTGGTTGTTCGTCCACTTCTGGACTGCAGTCCTGTTCCAGAACCTGAGTTTTGCGTGTGCATCCGTTTGACAGATCTAACACATTTGTGTGACCTTAAGGTATTTCCACTGACTTTTCCCATGAGGTTGTTTATGTAGACCACTCATCATAATACTGATCTGGTTTTTATATATATATATTTTTTTTTTTTATTTCCCTCTTTTCCATCTCTAGTTGTGTTAGTGTCAGTATTTTCTTTTTTTGATGAACAATCCTGGCAACAATGTTCATTTTGTATTTATGATTGCGTTGCATTGAAAAGCTTTTCAAAGCCTGATGCTGAAAAACAAAAAAAGACTTGAAGAAAGAAGAAGAAACAAGTTTTATTTTGCGTTTAGGTTGATTTTTGTTCATTAAAAAAATATTTGATGTAATGTCATATATTTTATTGCCCTTCACATAAGTTTTACAAACTCTCTTACCTAGGTCTTCCTGAAATTTTCTGGTACCAGGCTGTGATTACTCTAGCTCTTTCTATCTCAAAAAGTTCTTATTTAAAGTATCTTTCTTCTTCTTCAACCTTCTTCACCCTTAAAAGAGCAGCTGGCTCATTGTTTTGTGGTTTGCAGCTAGACTGCTATTTCTGCACCTTTCGGGCCCAACACATCTGATTTCAGCAAAAACTCTAATCTAGCGCCTTTTATGACACACTTGTAAGGGAGCATTAGATCTACTTTTCATGCGCGCATGTCTGTGTTTGTGTGCGCGTGCATGTGTGTGTGTGTGTGTGGGGGGGGGGGGGGGGCCCTGGAACCCACACTGGAATTTAAGTAGACAATGTTTGTTTCCAAAGTAGTTATAATCATAATACTTTAGGGAACAAGGAGTCAAAAATAACAGTTCTAATAAAAAAAGTGAATGTTCCCCGTGTGGATTCTGTGGCCCCATTGTGAGGAAAAGAAAAATAGACCCACTGCCTGCTCAACAAGCATGTCATAAGAGTCTACTAATTAGAGGCTTTCTTCGAAGTTGGAGTACATAAGCATGAGAGGCAAGGAACCAACAATCTGCGTATAATTAAGTCAGATCTGTTGAAGGGATGTGCATGAAACACTCAGGTTGTGGAGCAAGACTAAAGTTCAGAGGTGGACCCAAAAAAACCCCAGAACTTTCTGCTGGAGTTTACAGCTGGTGAACTCGAAGAAGAAGAAGAAGACAAGTAAATGTAACAACTAACTGACAGACGAAAATACTGTCTTTGACCTTCCCAGTGAAAGCATAACGAGTTGCGTGGTACCAAAAAAATTAATAATCATTTCAGTAGCTCTATGTTCTGCTCAAGCACAGAATCAGCTGTCCAGTAGCTCCAGTCTGGAAAGATGCTTTCCCTCTAGGCTGACAGGTCATGCTTACAGCCAGTTTCTCTTCTTGACAACAATCAGTACTTGACACAGTTTTGTGACTTCGGGTAGGACTTGGCAGGGCAGAACCCCACACAGTGGTTCTCATACTGGTAATCTTTGCATACCTACAATAGAGGGACAATACATGATTTTGTAATGGCTGTATTTTAATTGTAATCACTGACATTTTAATCTATACACATCTTTCTTCTGCGCTCACCCTTAAAAGGGTGGTTGGTATATTGTATTGTAGTTTACAATATCTGCACCCTTCAGCCTTATGCTAATACATCTAATTTAAGCGAAATCCTGATTAGCTGCTTTATTCCTGCTTGTGAGGTGGCTGTGGGTTTGTATTCATTTTCCTCCAAAAAGAGGCCTCGAATCCAACATGGAGTGATGTATACACCAGTGCAACTGTCCTAAGTGTAGCTAAATATACCCAATAAGCAGACTAGCAGCAATGATTGAATGCCTTATATATCAGCAGCGACATATGTAATGTGATAGCCTAGACGGGAGCTCACTGTTATAGGAATAATTGTGATATGATTGTGATGTGAAAGAATAAACCATAATTCACAAGAGCAACTAAACTAATGTAGCAGCATAGTGTCTGCAGCAGCTGTTGGTGATATGATCCCAGATAATACAGAGACCTCTTGCTGCAACCACACTTGATGAAATTACTCCTTGTTAAAAAATATATAGAAGTGTACCTAGAGACAACATTTGTGGCTTAGGTGTTGTGGTACTAACAGCTGACCGTTCAGAAGAACGTAAAACTTGCCTAGAAAAACAGCAACATCCAAAAAATGATGGAGTTGGTTCTGCAACATCTTGTAAAGGATATGCAACTAACTTTTTAACCTAGAGACATACAAGTATTAACTTGTTACAAGTGCTGCAAGAGATGAACAACCATTTTAGCTTCTACCAAATGTAGAGAGAGATATACAATATTTAAAAATGTTTAACAATAAAGTTTATGTTGCTTGTGACAGTTTACATGTTTCAGCGATAAATTTTTATATATTGTATATTAGTGTATGATTTGTTGTGTCACAACTTTTATCCATGCATCTAAAATATTTTTGTTTAATCGCCACTGTACTTACAAAACACAGCTCGTCGCTGCCACCATTGCAGCCAACAGCACAAGAGTTGTGGCAGCATTCCAGCTCTCCTGGACCGAAGCATCGGCCTTGGCACTTCTCATGACAGGTCCTGGCCACAGCTAAAATTTGAATTGTCGAGTCACAAGGTCAGCAGAAATTTTCAGTTGAAACAAATATCTCAGTGCTGACAAGTTACAATACTGACAACTTTTTCTGTTTAAACAGTAGGTATGTGAGTACTTTGCTGGGGAAAAAAAATCATCACCTACAACCAGCATCCCCGAAGGAGGAGCTGTAGGTTATAATTGTGACTGGGTTATGTGCGCCATATAAAATGGCTTAGCAATGCACGTCATCAAGAGCCCCTAAAAGGACTCCTGCAGTGTCGATGCGATCAAAGGAGACTGACCAAAATTCTGTCCTGACCGAAGTCGTCCTTCGGCGAACCAATGGGCGACCTGGTCGCTAATATGTTTAAATAGTGAGAACACCAACAAATGTATAGCCGAGCATATTTTACTGTATCTTGTCAAGTACAGGGAAAGGGAGGGGTTCCTCCATGGCAAAGAGGTCAAGCCATCTGCCTTACACTCTGAAGGTAGTGGGTTCATTTCACGACTGCATTGTTCAATTTTTGCAGAGATCCCTAGGGATCGTCGCTGGATCTATGTAGTTTGTCCTTTGTGCAATGCTCTCAGCAGGCAGCTAGCCGTTCTGCAGAGAGAGATCCAACAACATAGGATAAAACGGTCAAGTGCATCACAACATTTTCTCAACTCACAACGCTTCTTCTTCATCTTCTGCCTTTCTATCCCCCAATGGAGCATTGGCCCTCAACCAACTCACGCCAAGTCATTCTATCCTTCGCCATTGCATGGAGCTCTCTCCATGTCCTCCCCATCTTTCTAACTTCATTCTCCAGCTCTCTTCTCCATGTGTTTTTTGGCCTTCGTTTATTCCTATGTAATAATATTATTATTTCTATAAATAATGCTTCTTTTTCTATCTTTTTCTTATTTTTAATCCAGTCCTATCCTGCCTTTTAGCATAATATTTTAATGAAGCATCTGGTGTGAGCCTTAGTGTGTGCTACGTGGATGCTGATATTCACAGCCTCGGATATGCCATCTATCCACAGCCTCTGATACGCCATCTATCCATCACTAGATCTGCTTCCATTGTATCTAAGTAACAGAGCTCTCTTAGGTGCAGTATCTTATGGTGGGCTTGATACAACTCCAAACCATGTGATCTGCTGTCTCTTGACGTAGTCTAGCAGTGGTTCTTTCCCAGCTTGTTTCCTGATATCGTCATTTCTGATCTTGTCACTTCTTGTCATATTTAGGATTCCCTGTAGATATTTTATTTAAGTTCTTTTCAATTGTTCTTGTTCCTCAAGTGTTCTAAAATCATTGTTAAAGACAATCTTCCATGATAAACACTATAAAAAAGTTATGACTGTCAGTGAGATCCTAACCCCCACACTAGACCGCAGGTTACTTTACAACTGTAGGAGTGCTATAACATATCTGTGTTATTATATAGTGTAACCGTAGGGGTACAATAACATATCTGTGATATATCAGAGGTCCCAGGTAGTTAGAGTCCTTTTGATTTGTTTCTCCAGAATATTCCAGTGTGTTGGAAAACGAGCAGCCAGACAGACTGGCCGGTTCTTCACCACATGGTAGTGAATTGATGTATGACAAGCTAGATGTTGTGAAGGCCCCATGGGAGCGAGTGAACAGTGCGGACACAAAAACAGATCATTACGGTCTGAGGAGAATGGTGCTGCAAGGAGTTACTAGGAGATCTAGCCGACGCTCAACACTCAAGGGAAAGGCAAGATGCATTTACAACCAGACAGTTACTGCTGCCATTGGAATCGGAACTCTTCGCTTGCTGCTAAAGATAGGGACAGAGCGCTTATGTGGGTGTCCCAGGTACTGTAATGTCGACTCTTAATTCAACATTTATCTGTGTTATATAGCTGAACAAGGTTTCTGGATCTACTGTTTCTCCCCATGTGGGTTCCAGGGTCTCAGTTGGGGTGGGGGAGAATTGACTTACTGCCTCCCTAACAAACGTGGTAAAAGGCAACTAATTAGGGATCCCCCCCTTAAAGTCAGAGTGCATCCGCCTGAGCGGCAAGGAACCAATAGTCTGCATACACATAAGCCAGATCTGTAAAACAGATGTGTATGCAAAATTCAAGTTCCAAAATAAGACAAGTCCAGAAATTGTCCGCTGAAGTTTACAGCCGGTGAACGCTAAGAAGAAGAAGCTTCTGTCTGATTCTCAGCAGTGAGGTATGAATCTTATGGACAGCAACCCCGGGGGATAACAATTATCAATTTTCTTTTTCTCCTTCTGCGTTCGACATCAGTCATGCTAAACATTGAGTCCCATCTGAGTCACAAAAAGGATTGTGTGTTTAAGGTCGCCACCGGTCCCCCATAGCTTCTCTTGCAATGTGGCTCCCTTGGGCCAGATCCACAGTCTTTGCTGGGAGAGGTTAGGGCAGTGCTGTAGTATGTGCCCAGGGGTCTGTCTTTTTGCTCCACAATCACAGGCAGAAGATTCTTTTATGCCTATCCTGTACAGGTGTGCTCGAAGACCACAGTGTCCTGTCCGAAGTCTACAAATTCATGTTTGTTCTTTCCTGTTGAGTTTGTTTATGCTGTCACTCTCTGGTCTGTAATCTCCATTCTGCCTTCTCCGCTCCCGCTTGAAAGACTGCTTTAGCGCTGTTTTGGTTTCCTTGTAGCTGTGTGGTGGATGAGGTTGTGGAAGTTTACTCCCAGCTTTTGTTAACTCATCTGCTCTCTCATTTCCTTAACAATTACCAATGACTGTCAGTGCACCTTCAGAGAATATCTTGACTTCTGCCACAAAAACAGTTTTATCATGATCGCAACTACAACTAACAAAGTCCTTACCTTGTTGGCACAGAGAAGAATCATCACCCCATTTACCACCTTGCAAGCAATTTGTTACACCATCATTTTCTGAAACTGCAATGTTTATGGGGAACATGATTAGACCTAGGTTCATCTTCCCATTTTGTTTATTTCCAATGGAGCATAGGCCCTCAACCAACTCAAACCAAGTCATCCTATTTGCACATACAATCACATGCAGCTTATTCCATGCAATCCCCCTCCCCACCTTTTAACTTCATTAATGCCCTTCTCCATGTGTTTTTTTTTTTTGGTTCTGCCTTTTGTCTTTGCCCCTTGGGTTCCAGTGAAAAGACATTCTAGTTATATTGTTCTCAGTATTTTTATACAACATAAGAACAAAATAATTTCACCCTTTGCAGTTCAATAAGTTTCGCAATATCCTAAAATGTGTCATTCCTCTTGTCACTCTATGACCTATAGCTCTAGCCAGAGTAGTGGTCTCCAGCCTGTAGGGGGGTGGGGTATCTCCATTGAGCCTTGTCCAACACCTGACCAAAAATAGCAGATATCAAGACAAAACAGTGTCATCCATCGAACTAACATCTGGACACAAAACTTCTAGATGTTTGTAGATGTTTTTTGTTTTTTTCTAATTAACACTTCGATTTATACGGATATTTTTTCTCCTATTTGTTAATAGTACTTGGGATTTTTCTTTGCGCCCTCTTTTTTTCTAATCACATCTGTGAGGAGGGGAGGGGGAGTGTTTAGTCTTGCCATTTACTCAAGGAAGGGGAGGTAGGTGGGGTGCGCAGTGCATGAAAAAAGTCTGAGACCACTGATCTACAGCTTCATGTAGGAAGTGTTTTTTTGTCTGCCGCTTCTCTGAGATATGAATTTTCTTGAAGCACTTTAAGCCTAACAGTAATAGTCGGCAGGGAAAGTATATATCACACATACATTAGTGGAACATTGCTTGTATCCCAGAATTATCTTTCATGGCTAAACTCCATGAACATGCTTCAGAAGAAAGCAACAGGCAGTATGCGCTCTGAATGGGTAGAAAGCATTCAAAAATTGCACTTAACCTCCCTCACCTGGATCTAGACATGTGGTCATGCGGGCATAAAGGGTAAGGAGCAAGAGGACCAACTGGCAAGCAATGCACCAAAGCATGTGGGAAGAAACATGGACAAAGCAGATTCTGTCAACACTGTTTGGACTGGGCTAGTGGATTGTCACATATCACTCCTGTCGCGTGCCTAATGTAAGGATTTCTCCTTCAGAACCAACAGCACTCAGAAATAATTAGGTTGAGTCGTTTGGCTCGTATTGGTCTAAGGGATTCCCCGTGGCCAATATATGCTCAACTTATTTCTGGAGTAGGGCAGCTCAAGTATTGGCACTACAAAATATATCAGTATATGAATACAATATTTCTAGGCACACTTGGTTGGACACCCCCACTACTTACTAAAGAAAGCCCCCAGGTTATGATAGTTCATTATCATAACCATGTTAACACATATAATGAAGATACATGCACACACAACTGCTAAACACTTAAAAAGATGACATAAAGAAACCTAAGTCAGCCATGAAAATGAATGCATGTAATCAGTATAATATATATACATAAAATAGTGAAGTGAATTCCAGCTATCAGTGGAAGAATCTCAGAATATAATGTCTAGATCACAAAGATAATACACAGACAGCAGGTCTTGGAGATGACTCTATGTCATCATTGGGAAACATAGGAGCTGTGAGGCACAAAGCATATAAGGCATCAAACTTAGCTTCTCCTCTTTCGGTCTATGATGCTTCCCTCAGCTCCGGATGATTCGACTGTCTTTGACTCTGGGATTTCTGCTCAACTGGATCAGGTAGTGAAACAGTACCTCACCATAGAGTACACAGCCACTGTACTGGTACTCAGCAAGTCTTTCCCACCAGTAGGTCACACACTGTCTTTGAGCTACACTAAGCTCTAGCACTGGTAGGCTGTTTGAGTTATAAGCTCCCACATAGTGATGATGTCAGGAACCTTCACAGGTGTTAGCTGGCTGTAGTTGGTTGATAGTTAGTTTATGGTTGGTGGGTGTTGGTTGGACTGTGAAACTTCTGCCAGCTCCTCACAAGGATTCATCCCAAGCATATGAAAAGTCCGAGACATTCCAGATCGCCTTGTGAAAGTGAAATTATACAGGCAACGATTGACACGTCTGGACGCTGAAACAATTAGTAGAAACTGCCTTGGAGAACACACGGTCCTGATGTCAGGACAAATTGGCTTATATTGAAAGCAATACCAGATAACCTGTTTTCTCTTTTGATGTTTCTATTATTAAACTGTGAGACTTTGGACATCAGTTTTAACAATCCTACTGTTTAGAAAGCACCATAAAACGGCTGCTTTTTCTGGGTCGATGGCAGCTCATATTTCTGCACACCAATCTGACACTGTCTACAGCTGGCTGTAGCTCTCCTACATATATTCAAGAACCTCATCTGCAAATGTAAATATCTTTCTAAAGCCTGGTTCTTTATGTTGTGCAATTTTGCTTGAATATAAGATAATGCTGGCAATAAAACAAACAAAACACAGATGACCCAAACATAATGTAAATGATACAAACTTAAGACCACTGCAGAAAGCACACATCAGGATCAGCCACCAAGAAGAAAAAAAAGAAATTTAAAAAAGTAAAACAAAATTAAACAGAAGGTACAAAATCAATAAACTAAATCTAGCACAATGAGGGTTACAGAAAGCCAAGACTAGTTGTTTCATGAATAGATTATACTTTGTGAACGTGGTACAGATGTGTCCTCATCATACAGTACTTCAGATAATGTATTAACTCTATACAGTACTTCAGATAATATATACCCTCTTTACAGTACTTCAGATAATGTATGAACTCTACACAGTACTTCAGATAAAGTATACACTTTATACAGTACTTCAGATAATGAATGCACTCTACACAGTACCTCAGATAATGTATGCACTCTACACAGTACTTCAGATTATGTATGCACTCTACACAGTACTTCAGATAATGTATGCACTATACAATACTTCAGATAATGAATGCACTCTACACAGTACTTCAGATTATGTATGCACTCTACACAGTACTTCAGATAATGTATGCACTACACAGTACTTCAGATAATGTATGCACTCTACACAGTACTTCAGATAATGTATGCACTCTACACAGTACTTCAGATAATGTATGCACTCTACACAGTACTTCAGATAATGTATGCACTCTACACAGTACTTCAGTTAATGTATGCACTCAACACAGTACTTCAGATAATGTTTGAACTCTACACAGTACTTCACATAATGTATGCACTCTACACAGTACTACAGGTAATGTATACACTTTATACAGTACTTCAGATAATGAATGCACTCTACACAGTACCTCAGATAATGTATGCACTCTACACAGTACTTCAGATTATGTATGCACTCTACACAGTGCTTCAGATAATGTGTGCACTCTACACAGTACTTCAGATAATGTATACAATCTATACAGTACCTCAGATAATGTATGCACTCTGTACAGCACTTCAAATAATATAAGCAATTTACCTGATTCATCAAAGGCATGGTCCAAGAAATGAACAGAGTCTGGTCGCCCTCTAACAATGGGATCCCAGTTGATTGTGTTCACATAGCCCAGCGAAGGGTTCCTGGTAAACAGCACTTTCCCATAGGAGATTTCTAACAGTGGAGATAATAAAACATGCATATTGTACATTAACCCTTTCACCACACAAGAATATTTTTGAAAATTATCTTTTTTTTTGGGTTTTTTTAAATTTCGATGTTTTAAAAAAATCCTTATAATTTTCAGAAACGTTGACCTAAAAAAACTAGAAAAAGAAACAGACGCAGTTTTAAGTCTTGAGCAGGTGTTATAAATATCCAGGATGTCTAACGCCCAGACGACTGAGCAGACAGGCAGGCGTGAAATTCACTGCCTCTTGATGACTTCATATCACTAAAAATTGTATTACAAAAATTATCTCGTCACCAAAGGTCTACAGCCCAAAGAGGTTTATTTCTACGTGAAGAAAAGTCATCACTAAATACAAAAGGAGCAAAGAATGAACCAATTTCCTTCCCTTTAACCATCTAAAAGTGGTTCTCATTACTTTTCAATGAAGAGCAAGGTGATGCAGTTTTGATATCACAGGGACATAAGTTTTTTTAAATCTATTTTTATCCCATGGGATAAAATCTAACAACAAAAATGCCTAAATTCTAAATATGACTATATCTACCATATCCACATACTATGCAGTTGCAACCAGCACCAAAGCTGTTATACAGGCATAGTGACCACTGCCCAAAGCATCATACTATAAAAAAAACTAACAAGCCTAGATCTTGGCATTTACAAGGCTAAAGAGTTACACTAAAGAATAACATTAAAAAGATTTAAAAACAAATTATTATGTTAACAATTGCCAGTGAAAATTTGAGAACAAGTAGAGACAAGAAACAAAAAATTTCATGCATTTTAAAACAAGTAAAAATTACTTCTCAGAGTTCCTCAGGGTTGGGGAAAGTCAAATCCCAAACATAACGGATCTTACGACAGAGATGGAGATGAGAACATAAGAATAGAGGAACTGAAGGATTATTGAGAAGATTAAGCTGGGAAAAGCAGCAGGACAGATGGTATAACACCAGAGATGGTCAAATATATGAGAGTCGCAAGGGAGCGACCGTAAGACTTTAACAAAAGATTGTAAGATTACCATCATTATACCTGTATTTTAAAAAGAGTGATAAAAGACAGTGTGAAAACCATAGAGGCATATTCCTTCTCAGCGTTCCTGGAAAGAGTTATTCAAGAATTCTTGTGAACCCACAACATTAAGAGCTTGAGGCAAACAGCTCGACCACTTTACTATGGAGACTCCCATATATCTTCTTTTCTGCATTCATCTATAGATGTAATTGCATTCTCCCCTTTTACAGCATGGCTGCTATACTTGTGCCTTTTGGCCAACACATCCGACTTCTGCAGGCATTTGTTGACCGGGCTAACCTTCCTGGTTGATTTCCATATGTCCCATATATAGGGGAATCGGTGAAGGATCTAGTTACTGTGTTGTGTTTTTTGTTGTTGACTGTTAGTACTTGCCACGTGATTATGAACCTATAAGTAGTAATAATCACGGTTTTCTGAAAGAAGGGGATACCTGTTGTCGAGTAACACTCACCTTTAAGACGTGGCATGTGCAGACTTTTGAGTCCGGAGTTGTCCTCGTCTAATCTTGAAGTAAGTACAACCACAAGACTGTAGTCATCTCCTACCAACAATTATAATAGACAGAAACACATCACAACTAAATCATTCCACATCTACAAATACACTATTTGTGACTGATTGTCCCCCTGTGGGTCTGAGATCCCATTGTGGAGACAAAAAGAACAGACCCACTGCTTCCCCAACAAGCATGTCATAAGAGCTTACCAATTAGCGGGCTAGCTTAAGTCAGAGTGCACCTGCCTGAGGTATAGAACCAACAGTCTGCACATAAATAGGTCAGATCTGTAAAATGGATGTGCACGCAGCACTCAGGTTCTGGAACAAGACCAATGTCCAGAGGTGGACAAACACACAGAACTTTCTGCCAAAGTTTACAGCCTGTGAACACGAAGAAGAAGAAGAATGACTACACAGTTTACATACACACATGTCACTACTGAATGATTTCACAGTCTACACACAAATTTATTGTCTATTAAAGTATTTTTGTAGGTTCCAGTAAAAGCAGATGATATGCATGAAATGAACATTAATAGAAAAAAGAATGAACCTCTCTGCAGAAAGAATGAACCTCTCTGCAGAAAGAATGAAAATCAATAGAGAAGTATTGAACATCAACAGAGAAAGAATGAACATCAATGTAGAAAAATTGCCAACACAGTTTTATTTAAACTCCCAGGGGATTGAACTGCCCTCACAGTTTTATCTCTAACCCACCAGTTATGGCCCCTGGTAGTCCACATGCAGTATTTACCCCCCCCCCCCCCCAGCCAACATGTGTAGTCAGAGAGAGAGAGAAGAAACGTGTAGTCATTCTGCTGAGAAACCACCGACCCGGCTGCTTCGATATACCAGCTAAGTGATTTTGTGTATCTGTGTAGTATTGTTTAATTTGTATGTGCTGATGAAGGCTCCGTAGCCGCAACGTTCACGTTTTGTTTGTATTTGTTATATTGTGAAGCTTGCTAATATACTTTTCATTAGGTTTTATATCATTTCTGATACAGAAAAATTAATAACAATGCAGAAAGAATGAACATCAAATGAGAAAGAATTAACATTAAAAAAAAAAAGAATGAACACAGATAGAGAAAGAATGAACATCAACAGAGAAAAAATTAGCATCAACAGAGAAAGAATGAACATCAAAGCAGAAAGAATAAACATCAACTGAGAAAGAATTACCATCAATAGAGAAAGAAAGAACATCAATAGAGAAAGAATGAACAACAAATGCAAAAAGAATAAACATCAACTGAGAAAGAATTACCATCAATAGAGAAAGAAAGAACATCAATAGAGAAAGAATGAACAAACAAATGCAAAAAGAATAAACATCAACAGAGAAAGAATGAGAATCAATGTTGAAACACTGAAGTTATGTCAGCAGAAATACAATCAAAGCTATGGTTGAACTACTCATCTATAATTCTGTACATATTGTCTACACCACTTACCCATTGAAATACCATTTAGAATAGCACTGGCATCTAGTGCCTTCAATAAACTGTCCAACATCTGGAAATCAAAGACACTTAGCAAACACACAAAACTCAAGATCTTCAATTCTTGTGTGATTCCAGTACTGACCTATGGATGCGAGAGCTGGAAATCAACGAAAACTCTAGACACAAAATTAGACAGTTTTGAAAATAAATGCCTTAGAAGAATACTAAATTTCAAATGGTCAGATTTCCGAACCAATACACAAATAAGGCAAGAATCCAGGCAAGATTATGTGTCTAATTTTATACGAAAACGCCGCTGGAACTATGTCGGCCACGCCCTTAGAATGGATAAATCAAGACTTCCTTACCAAGCCCTCATTTGGACACCACAGGGGAAAAGATCTTGTGGAAGACCAAAGGAAACCCTTCGTAGAACTATCATCAGAGAAGGCTCGCTCATGGGCCACTCAAACATCCAAGACCTACAACAGATTGCAACGAACCGCCATGCATGGAGAGTCATGACCTCTGCCCTATGTGCCACACTTGACACAAGAGGAAAGACTAACTAACTAACTTACCCATAATTCTGTACATATTGTCTACACCACTTACCCATAATTCTGTACATATTGTCTACACCACTTACCCATAATTCTGTACATATTGTCTACACCACTTACCCATAATTCTGTACATATTGTCTACACCACTTACCCATAATTCTGTACATATTGTCTACACCACTTACCCATAATTCTGTACATATTGTCTACACCACTTACCCATAATTCTGTACATATTGTCTACACCACTTACCCATAATTCTGTACATATTGTCTACACCACTTACCCATAATTCTGTACATATTGTCTACACCACTTACCCATAATTCTGTACATACTGTCTACACCACTTACCCATAATTCTGTACATATTGTCTACACAACTTACCCATAATTCTGTAGGTATTGTTTGCTCTAATCACTTCCAGACTATCCATGGGAATATGTTCCACCTCTGTGATCAGCCCCAGCAGCACATAGCCACTCACGTAACGTATGGTCTGGAGAAATATAGTTCCAGTATGAAGAGTGAAACATTATGTGACTAATGCAAACATCTTATGTGATAAAAATAACATATCCATAAATGACTATCTATAAAAGATATAAATGTGACTAAAACAAACGATCTATATAACCAAAACAAACAAAAAACCTATTTGTGACTAAATCAAATAGATTTATAATTAACTACAACAAACATCGATGTGTGACTAAAACAAAAATCTATAAATAAGTAAAACAAACATTGATTTGTGACTAAAAAACATCTACATGTGACTAAAACCAAAAAGATCTAATTGTGACTAAAACAGACATCGATATATGACTAAAACAAACATTGATATGTGACTAAAACAAAAAGATCTATAAGTGACTAAAAGAAACATCTATATATCACTAAAACGAACATCTATTTGTGATGAAAATAAACAAATATTCTGCATTTTCCTATAAAAAAGGCAGTTATGTTGTTGTTAACATTGTGTTGTGGTTAACATTATGTAGTGGTTAACATTATGTTGTGGCTAACATTATGTTGTGGTTAACATTATGTTGTGGCTAACATTATGTTGTGGCTAACATTATGTTGTGGTTAACATTATGCTGTGGTTAACATTACTTTGTAGCTAACACCCCAGCACATGTGATTTCAGCACTTTTGCTGTTTGTACTAACTCTGCTTGCACTGGCTGTTGTCTAGGAGATGATATGTGTAGTGAATGCTCTTAGCACACATTCTACAATGACATAGCTGGGACAAGCCGACACCGACTTAGCAGTATGATACATCAGTTTATTGACATCTTAACACTTATAACAATGTCTGGTCGTTGTCCCAAGAAACAGCTTTCACACACCACATTACTCAGACTCCAACATGCTGACTTCTCACACAGTCACTGACCAGAGTTTGCACAGATGTATCTGGTTCTTCTCCTTGACATCATACAGACTGGCCTGGCTGGTCTTGGCCTCAAATGGATGTCGTCGTCTGGTTTTCCTCTCACAGCAATCAATCTCACGTTGTCATTCTCTCAATCACTCTCCCGTCCTTTCACTCCGACAGTTCAACACATACTAACTTGATCAGACTAGGATCACCTTATACCCCATGTTTGTTTCACCTGTCAACACGTGGTTGTCCTTAACTTCCACGTGGCGACCTGTGGTCGCTATCATCGGGTTCCACGTGATAACTCGTGGTCATCACCTATTTTGAAAACCTCAGTTAATCCGAGTATCTGGCTTTTCTCTGTATTTAGCTTAGGGCTTTTCCCCCAGCCTTCCTAATCAGGGTGAAAATATCCCCCATTACAACTTTGATTAGTCGCATTTTACGATATGCTTTTTAAGGCTCAATGCCCCTCCCCCCACTTAAAATGAGGCAGGTAGAAAACAAAAACAATTTATCTGTGACTAAAACAAACATGTCTATATGCAGATTTTTTTCTTTCTGATTGTTTGTAATGGTACGCAATAACAGCACCTGATTTACGCACTTTTTATTTTAGCGCTACTGTAATAGACACTTTACTCTGAGTAACACTTTGTGGTGAGTACCGGTACTTGTTTTTTTTCGGGTGTTAATATCAAAAGGCTCTGTCTATATGTAAGTAACAAGTGTATCTACTGTGACAGGTTGAAAAGTATATTTACTGTGAGAGGTGAAGACATGGATCACCCACCTTGAGGAAGTTTAGGTCATACTGAATGTTTGGGTCCAGGATATTAGTGATCTCCAAGTTGCCATGGATATAGGTGCAGCCTGCATATCGCTTTCTCAGCTGCTGGTAATGAAACTCGAGTGTCCCTGAGTAACCAAAGCCAACTGTGGTCCCATAGCATTCTGAAAGTTGGGATTGAATAAAATACTGATAACTGTTTCACAAGGATAGACAAGGTGGTTCTTCTTCTTCACATTCACCAGCTGTAAACTCCAGTTGAAAGTTCTGCTTGTGCATCCACTTCTGGACTCAAGTCTTGTTACAAAACTGGAGTTTTGCATGCATATCCATTTTACAGATCTGGCTTATTTGTATGCAGATTGTTGGTTCCTCGTCTCTCAGGAAGGATTACTCTGACTTTGAAGGAAGCACCCCTAATTAGTAACCTTTTATAACATGCTTGTTAGGGTGGCAGTGAGTGGATATTTTAACCCCAAAATGGGGCCCCGAGACCCATGCGGAATAGCAGACAATGAAGTTTGAGTATTAAATGTTGCAGCATAACATATTTCTGACCATCATGTGCAGGAGACATACAGGAGTGGGAGCCTCAGACAACCCCCCCCCCTCCCCAATCATCATAATATTCTTTAGGCAAAAAGGGAGCTCAAGAAGGTTAGTCCTAGTTTATGAGCATACTAATGATATGGGGGGGGGGGGGCATGGAGAGCAACTGAAACAATTACTAATAAACTACAGATAATAAACAAAAAACAAATGAGTTCAACTAATAAATTGCGCAGAGTAGAGGGAATTAAATGGTATGATAGAGTACGTGTTGAGCTTTGGGATAGAACTACACAAATTCTGGTGAATCAAGAGGTGAAGAAAATACGCTGGTGCTGGAAAGGCACACAGATGAGAAAATCTGAGAACAATAAAACTTGAATGACTTTGCACTGAAACCCACAAGGGCATAGAAATAAAGGCAGAAGAAAACAACAAGGGAGAAGGGAACTAGAGAAAAACAAAAGAGAGGACATGGGGTAAGTACTCAATGACTTCGTGTGAGTTGGCTGAAGGTGTATACGCGATTAGGGGACAAAATATGGAAGAAGAAGAATGACAACAATAATACCCTGATGAATGGTAAATCAATATAATAATGCAACTGAAACAGTTTGATAAATGTATGATAATAAATGAACGAAGAGTCACTTTTACAGAGAATTTCTAGACATTATTTTTTTTTTTTTGGGGGGGGGGGGGGGGGGGGGGTTAATTGCTTATGCCCCCCCACCTCCAATAATATGGGGAGGGGCGACAGAGTAGCCTGAGCACCCAGGTTCCAGGGCCCCCTGTGTGAGATTAGGTGGGTACTTCTCTTCCTCACCCCATTTTATACAAACCTCTAATTAGCAACTCGGAGAGGGGAAGTCGGTATTTTAAATTATTCTTTCTGTAATAACTATGAAAAATCTGTTATGTGAGTAAGAACTATAAAGTACTCTAACGACTACTACATCAACACAACAGGTTAATTCACACTAAGAAGTGGCTTCACATGTAAGACAATCAACAGTTTGGATCAGCAATCTTCTTTGTGATTTATGTTGTCCTATTGTAGGGGGGGGGGGGACAAGAATATACCCACTACCCCTTAACAAGCATGTCGTAAGAGTCGACTAAATAGGAGAATCCTTCGAAGTCGGGGTGCATCTGCCCGAGAGACAAGGAACCAACAGTCTCCATACAAACAAACAACATCTGTAGAACATGCACGCGCAACACTCAAGTTCTGCAACAAGATTTAAGTCCATAGGTAGATCAAAGTCAAGAGAAGGACGACAGGCCTTAAATTTCAGTTAGAGTTTACTGCCGGCGAAGAAGAAGAAAAAAAGAAGAAAGTAGCAATGGTTGGCGGGTACAATTAGAAATCGAAGGCACAGCAGACGATGCCTGCTGCAATCTACCCAAAGTGAGCCACTGTTGTGAGTTAAGCAGACTTCATAAACAGGCAGAATTTACAATCTAACTAACTCAATCTACTGCTCACTCACAACATTATCTACACGTCCTTATTTCCTCACCTCTCTCTTCTTGTTCATCGATCCGCAAGTCTACACAGACAACGCTGGAAAAGCAGGAGGCCAACACAAACAATGCCACAATAGCGTGAGCCATCTTTGATGGAAGCAGACGTGTTGTGTTAGCCAGCAGCCCCAGGCCTGGCATAGACGAGCAGGTGCTACACGGCTCTAAATATAGACGGTAGCTGGAATCTGAGCACGTCGCTGGCCTAGCGCTGGGGTGGATCCAGGTGGTTCGTTAATCCTCCATGTGTGTCTACGTAAGGTTTGTTAGGGGCGGGGGGGGGGGGGGTCTCCCCCACCTCATGGGTCCACAGAACCCAACCAGAAAACTTGGGGGATTCATTTCTTGATACGAGCTCGGCTGCAGTCGTGAATAATTTGTAACTAGTCTTAGATTCAGGTGGACCCTGACCCTAACTGTATCTCTACTTGTGTAACTTACAAGAAAGACAGAATAATTAAATTGCTACCGGTACCAACAACACGAACTCTATGCTCAGGGCCGTACCGTGATACAAAGATGCGGCCACATCGCATAAGCTGCGAAATAAAAATACAATTTTAACGCTTATGGGGCGGCATTCGAAGACTTGTATCAAAATGTGATGAACGAGCAGCAGTCTGAGAGAGTGTACAACCAACCAGGACAAGAGACAGAGCGTACTGGAGTTCCATTGTGGCTAACCTTCACCATGGAGACGTCACCATATTGATTGATTGATCCTCCTGAAGACGAGGACGGAGCGAGTATGGAGATGCCTTGAGTGTTGTGACGTCAGTTCCTAATTCAATTCAGCTCAGTTTGTAAGGAAGCCACATTTGGCGCTAGCTAAGTTAGTTAAACCAGCTGCACGGCGACCGGTGAAAAACTCTTTGTGGTCTGAGTTCACGCTCATGGGTAAAAGCCATACATTTCACAGATTGACGGTCTCTATCATGGAATCAAGGCCGAAGGGTTGTGATATCCATAATACCGAGGCAAAGGGTTTACAACTCTTGGTTTCTGGATTTAAAAAAAAAACAATGCAAAGGCAACCTAGTGTTGGTTTGGAGGAATAACCCTACAGACTAATGCTAATTTGGGGGATAACTGCCAAAGAAGAAGAAGAAGAAAAAGAAGAAAAAGAAGAAGAAGAAGAAGAAGAAAAAGAAGATAAACAAATGCACTGTTAATATATGTATATTTTCATCATCTAAGTTACTTTTACCCATACTCTCTCTCTCACGCACACACCACCTCTCATACACATTCACAAACATACATACACACGTGTGCGCGCCTACACATACACACACGCTCGCATACACACTATACAACAGGCCACGATAGCGTTGTACGCATGGTTGCCATATTGGCTTTTTATAAGCCAGATTTCACAAATCTAGCTTATTTGAGAGAAAAAAGTTAGCTTGTTTTTTGTTTTGTTTTCTCCTGGCTTTTCTAAACAAGATGTGCTTACAGTTTCTTCATGGTTCTCATGGTGAGAAACTACTATACTTTAAAGAGTCATGCAGAGACTAAAAAGCATAAAACTGCAGTTCCATTCAAGGATATTATACCGCTGACATCTGTTTTCAGAACTTAACAGATTAATGAATCATCAAAAGTTGCAGGATCTGTCGCAATGTTTTTAAATTGTCACTGTGCATTTTCGAACTGTGACCATTTGATTGATTTGTTTAAAGACACAATTTCTGACAGTAAAATTATTAATGACGTAAAAATGCATCGCAGCAAGTGTACACATATTATAAGAATCTGTACTCAAAGTGCTGTGTGTATTATGTATGACAGCAATAGTAAAGACAAAGTAGTTTCTACATATCTTGGACTAGTTCAAATGGAAAGGTGTGATACAGAAAGTATAGTTCATGAACTGAAGACACAAGTGGACACAAGGGGGGCCATGTGGACACAAGGAGACACACGTGGACACAAGGGGACACATGTAAAAGCAAGGGGACACACGTGGACACAAGGGGGGGGGGGGCTGTCGCGTGCGGATATGCACTAGAACGCACCAGTACTGAGTGAGCAAACTGGACGTCACAACAATACGTAATGTTGTTGAGGAATTTTTGTCTAAGCATTCGTTGTATAAAGTCTGGAAGAGACAGACGTGTGGTCGAGTCTCAGTGGAGCCTTGTGACTGGCTTTTTGACGGATTTTACCTGATTTGATATGCTACTAATTTTTAGTGCAACAGTGCACTGACACAGTTTGCAATATGCTACCTCTAATCCGTCTGAAGCTCTTTTGAGCTGTGGGTGTTTTCTTCTAGTTACTATTATAACTTGCGACCTCATAAGATGCTTTCCATTTGGGGGACGGGCTGAGGATGACGTAGCCATTGGTAAAAGTAATAAAATCTATCACAAATAGAACTAGGTCTATATCCTCTCTATTTTCTGTCCTCAATTAGTTTCTGAATATTCTGAATCACGTGGTATCAGTGGTGGGCTTTAGTTTTATATCCCGCATTTATTCTAGTAGGTTAACATAAATTACAGAGGGTCTTTGTTTTTCGAAATCACGATCCGTTTAGAAAGACAACAAATACAATTAGAAATGGCGCGAATCTCTGTTAGTCCGTACCAGGACATCACAACAAAGACAAACTGAAATAAAGATGTTAACTCTTGGTCTACATTGCTTTTAGTAAATCTGCGTATTTCTAACGGAGGAACCATGAAGAAAATGTGAGCACATCTTGATAAGAAAAGCCAGGAAAACCCCAAATAAGCCAGTTCATTATCTTATGCCAGTTCAATTTCAAATATGCGAAAATTTGTGGAATCTGGCATTAAAAAATGCCAGTATGGCAACCCTGAATCAAATCACACCCAAACATACATACTCAACATTACTGAGGTCTTGAGGTTCCTTGCTGCAGATATTATCTCCGTTCAGCTTTGTCATTTCTTTCCAGTTGACGCCAGGTCGTATTTCGCCATCCCACACTATTTCCAGAATCACGGATCAGACCTATGCTCTTATTTCATTCCCCCTCCCCACCCATGGGACTAAGCCAGTTGCGTAGGAAAGAGTTGTAGGTCACCCTGGGTGTCATCACGGGGATTGGCGGGTAATAAAATGTCAAAAAAAAATTTTTCAACTTAAAAAGTGTGTGTGGGGAGGGGGGGGGGGAGAAACAGGGAATTTTTTGCGCCGGCACCACCTGACCTTGCTATATCATTGTGCTATACCATTTATGTTTTTTTTTTTTTTAATCTTACACATGAGAGTGACATTTAACCCCCACAATGAGCGATTAACACTCTGTGACACAAAGTGGCACCATTCGGATGAGAATTTCCCATTGCACAAGTCCCAGAAACCAGGTTCAACCATTAGGCTATGTTAGTCCCCCCAGCGATAGCCAGTGTGGAAGCTTTAAAATATAACCCCCCCCCCCCCCCCCAAGAAAAACAAAAATTGCCTTCCATATTGGAATGGGACATGATAATCATCAAACACACGCATAACAGGGGCGCTGGCAAAATGACACCCCCCCCCCCTTTTTTTTTTAAAAGCAAAATTTGAGGAAAAGGGTTCAAGGGGCATAGTTTTAGTTTAAGAATATCACAGTAATAAAGATAATAATAATGTGCTGAGAATGAAGAAAGAAAGATGGCAGAGACAGGCAATGCAACGGACACCACAAGGTCAGTGAGGCAGATGCAGGCCCAAAAGCACTTGGAGGTAAACCTTTGAAGATGAACTCAAGGCTACGCGAAGGAAAAAAAACCGGAGATAGAAAGGATGGCTCAGGATCAAATTGAGTGGCGACAGTTTGTCTCTGCCCTATGTGCCTCTGTGCTTAATGAGGATTGATTGATTAATGGCAAATAAATATAATCATGCATTTAAAATGTAAAAACAAATACATTTAAAGAGAACTTCTTAACATGGCTTATGGACGCAACTTAGCCCATCCATCCATTTATGAAAAACAAAACAAAAAAATTGAACCATGTTTAACCTACTGCGAACAGCATCCTTTTGAAACATTTGTTTATGATGGCTGTTGGGGCTCAAGGGGGCCTAAGCCTCTAGGTCAGTGGTCTGCAGTGGGGGGGGGGGGAGAACCACTTCCCTATAGGGGCTTGAGCCGTCACAGTATTCCACTGGGAACAAATTTGACATCTACTCCATAGAGATGTAAGCACATTGTTTATATCAGAGTATTCCATCCTTAAACTATTGTGCTATATAAATAGTCAGATGGCACCGTTCCGTCTTTACAGATGATAGTGTTATATTGTTATGCAGGAAAGCATGGAAATTAGTCCGTGGCGATCCAACTAACCAAGGATGAATTTCCTTCTCTCCATAGCTCTAAGCCTGAGCAGCACTGTAAAAACTATGAATTAATCAAGTAACAGAAAGTATTGTGAACAGCACTCATAGAAAGAAGTAGAAAGATAGAAGAACACACTAGACAACATAAAAATCGAAAGCTATAGTTACCGTGCCGGGATTGAACCTGTCACCTCCAGACGGCGTCTGCGCCTCGCCATGAATACAAGTGCACTAAGATACATGGTCAACTAGGCACCCCCCAAAAAAAAAGGTGTCTCATTGGCCATGTCTATCGTACAGCTTGAAATCCACGACTATGGAATACGGACAGAATTCATTTCAACCCATTGAAATGGCACCATAGGTTACAGAAATTTATATTAACGAAGCAAATGTCGAATAACAATCACAGCAACGATTTACGAACACAGTAAGACCTTATTGCTTTGTCTAGAATACACAAACATTTAAGAAAGGTATTTGATTGGTAGGTTCCGGTGTGTATACGTCATTCCTATAAATAAACAGAGGGGGTGATACGTGCGGTCCTTCATTGTGACGTGCAGAGCTTCATGCTGATGTGTGTGGTACCAAGATGAAATAGGCCAAGTAGGGGTAAAACAGTAGTTACTTCAATGCTTTCAAAATGTAGAGCTCGAACGCTATGCGTTAAGTTCCAATGGTTGTATTGATATATACAATCAGCAATGATCAACACAAGAATACGTATGCAATCAATAATCAACTCGTTCAACCAAAGCTCACTCGTACATCCATGTATTGATATGTCCTCACGATAGGTCGCAGTCCGACCTTGAGATCATGACAATCATCTTGGTCCTCGGACAAGTCCGAATTAAGCAAGGAAAGTATACCGGCTTGCTGCCGAGAATGTAGTGCTCACCAGCTTACTGTTGAGGTCTTGGAGTCCCGGGGTAAAACGTCCTCAAGGATCCAACTTTAATAACGTTTGCTTCCGTGGGATCCCGGGGTAAAGCGTCCTCAAGGATTCCCACGTCCGTCTCCTTCGGACTATAAACATCAACTGCTTTGACAACAATAAATCATAACAACGTTACGTATTGTTTTGACGTCTTATTTGCTCACTCCGTACTGGTGCGTTCTGGTGCACATTCGCACGCGACAGGGGGAAACCATTTGAGGCCGTTAAATATTATGAATTAATCAAGTAACAGAAAGTATTGTGAACGGCGTTCTCTCTCTCTCGTCTCTCTGCCTAGCAAAGGTTACACCAGAAGAGCAGTACCCTGTTCAGTAACACTAGTAAGCTTGGAACAAAACATGCTGCAGAAGCTGCCAGATGAGAACCCTGTTCAGTAACACCAGTAAGCTTGGAACAAAACATGCTGCAGAAGCTGCCAGATGAGAACCCTGTTCAGTAACACCAGTAAGCTTGGAACAAAACATGCTGCAGAAGCTGCCAGATGAGAACCCTATTCAGTAACACCAGTAAGCTTGGAACAAAACATGCTGCAGAAGCTGCCAGATGAGAACCCTATTCAGTAACACCAGTAAGCTTGGAACAAAACTGGCTGCAGAAGCTGCCAGATGAGAACCCAGTTCAGTAACACCAGTAAGCTTGGAACAAAACTGGATGCAAAAGCTGGCCACATCGGGAACCCTCTTCAGTAACACTAGTAGGCTTGGAACAAAACATGCTGCAAAAGCTGCCAGATCTGAACCCTGTTCACCTCCTAAACCAAGGCCTGGTCTGTTCTGCCACAGCACTAAATTTTCAGGTTGCATTTTGTCTTTCTAGAATAATGACATCTTAGATATGTGAGTGTACTGTTATGATCCTAATAAAACAGTGACACTTCTTAAAAGACTTTTAATGTCTCTCAGACATTCTTGCTCAAGCCTACCTCACCTAAACTATGGTGATCCCTGTTCTCCCCAGTGATCCCGTAGGCTACTTCACCTAAACTATGGTGACCCTTGTTCTCCCCAGTGATCCAATAGAATATTGGAGTTTTGGCCCCTAGAAAGAAACTGGATAGAACAACATACAAGGTAAAGATGAAATCACTCTCCTAGACAGTTGGGACAGGGAGAAATAATTTGTCTGTTGGTGTAAACACCAGGGATGCAATCATTTAATTAATTTAAAAAATCCACAAAAACCCAGTTTCCATAAACCACTGTTAATAATTCATAGACAATAACCAAACAAAAGCATATATCTAATACTTTTAATGTGCCTATATTTTGCAAGTAGGTTAAATAAAATAAAACACACACACATAAACCAAACAGCCATTTCATCTACTTCTATTAAAATGAACTCATTGCCACCTTTTTCTCAAGTACAAGTATCAGCGCACACATACATTTCCTGTACATGCATAATACCCCTCTTGTGTTCCATTCAAACATGTTGCTGGTCTCCTGTCTCAAACCATTTACAGTCAAGACAACAAGAATGTGAAAACTTCCGCACCTAAATAGGAAATTGGGTTATACTTTGTGTAGCCGATGGATGTCCAAATATAACTGTTTTATATGAAAAAAGCGGTGTTAGGATTTGTTCCTTATGGACAGACATCTGAAAAGTGGCTCTTTCTGACTGTGGGTGTTGAACCTTCAAGTTGCATTTCCAGAGGGAGTAAAAACAAACCATAGCATGATCGATTTTCCGATAAAAAACTGGCAAGGCAGTCATAAAATAGTCTGACACAAAACAAAGACAAATTACATCCACACATTAGGTTTCAGCATACCCTGAATCGGTAACCTTTTATGACATAATTTTTAGGGGGCAATGAGTCTATTCTTTTCTCCCCACAAAATGGGGCCCTGGGACACACACAGGAAGCTATCATAGGCAGATCATGGCTCACAATGCATCCTCTTATTCCCTGTTTGTCAGAGTGATGTAAATGAACTGTACTTACTGCTCATTTGCACCATTCGGTCGACATATCAGGCATTTACTTCTTGGCTAGCCTGTCCTGTTAATTTTGTGGGATACTGAAGGAAATTTTCCAGCCTTATTTAATCTACAGGTGTTTTCCCTAAAGGACTCATCCGGGACAGACTAGTTGGCCCTCATGGAAAGGTAGGGAAAGAACATCAGAATCCCCCCCCCCCATTCAAAACTGCAGAGCTGATATATGGCATAGCATTATGTAATTTAGCAGCTGCTGAATTTCAGTACAAAACTCACTTCAGTTGCACACTTTTACAGCAGACATGTCAAAACTGAGGGTCCCATGAGGGAAATATGGATAAAATTTTGTCATCACGAGGACCATACATGACAACTAACAGGAGTCACTTAATAACAATTACTGAATTTCGCCACAGGTATACTTGCAAAGGACACCCAGATTGACATGCCTGTTGTACAGAATGCTGTAAATCAACCCAACCAACCATTTCTTAGCTACTGTGGGTTTTTCTAGGCAACTTTACATTCAGTAGTGTGTCCATTTAAAAAAAATATACTGTCGAAATCTATGAAATGCTGTGTGGTGCCATATCACCCTAAGCTTTTGAACCTGGGTATGCTGGAATTGTGAAACTGTACCAATAACTTCGAAAGCCACAGGTGACTACCCAACAGAATAGTAAGACACTCCATATGTGGGTTCTGGAGCCCCCTTTTGGTTGGAAGGATTGGGACAGACTCGCTACCACTTAACAAGTATGGATTGGTATAAAAGACTATAATTAAGGATCTGCTGAAATCAAATGTAGATGTATTGGGCTGAAAGGTTTAGATACCACAACCTAGAGGTAAACCACAACACACCATGCTGACCGCCTTTTTGAGGACGAACTAAGATACCACCCACCAGAACAACGTACAACATACACAGCGTGTTGTTAAAGTAAGTGACAGTATGAAGTTTTAAAGAAAAAAAAACACCCTTCATATATAAAAACGATTTACTGCAGCCAAAAGCGAACCACACATTTACATTATTTCTCAACATAGTCACCATTGACTTCAACCTATGTTTGATATCATGGCACCAGGTTCTTAATTCCAATATCAGGCAGGTTTGCCAACAGTGTCTTGAACCTTTCATTAACGCCTGTCTGCTTTTCATCATCAGTTTCAAACCCCCGGGATACCAGCCACTTCTTTAGGTGCATGATAAGGTAGTAATCACTTGGCGACAGATCGGGCCTGACGGGCGTGTGGCCAAAAATTTTTGAGTAGAATTTTTGCAACAATTGAACAGCTCCATCTGCGATGTGAGGTCGAGCATTATCGTGCATTACATTGCTAACAAAAAAAAGGATCAGAGAATGAACCTCACAGCTCGCAAAAGTATTTATTGTTCACTTATTATAAATCACTCACAGGCAGCATCAAACAAGATTTGGACAGTGAAAAATAGCCCATAACTAGATAATGAACCACAAACATACTGCATATGTACATTTATGTTTCCCATCAGCGTTTGCCACTGCGGTCAAACGGGACTTATTTAAAAACACGTCTCCTTTAAGAGGAAAATAAGTTTTCCTCCATATTAAAAAGAGCTTCCATAATGACATCACAAATGGGAAAGACTAATTATATTCTATCTACTGGCTGGTGAATTTTCATGAATGATGAAAAAAAAAAGAGAAAAATGATAGAGACAAGTGAGTAATAAACAACAGTAAAGACTGAGCTGATAAGACAATCTTATGACAAAACTTTGTACCCATCAGAGATTAAAAAAAAACACTTTAGAAAATGGAGAGTGAAAAGAACCCAAACAATTCATCTGTTTAAATCATCACTGACATCATGAGGGCTAATAAACTGAAATGACTGGGGCATTTAGAGAGACCGGTAGATGAAACAGAGGCACAAACTGTGTACACAAGGGAGTCAAATGGCCGCTGACCATGAGCCAGACCAAGAAGACGATCCAGGCAGAGCTAAAACTAGAGACACCAAGTGGAAAGACAAGGCCAATGGCAGAGATGAGTAAAGTGGCAGATGTCTGCACCAATGAACCTCAAAAGCTTGAAATGTTTCAGAAAAAGAAAGACTAAGCACACTTGCCTTTGCGCCCAGATGATGAGAAGGATTTTCCACATGGAACATACTGCTGCAAGTTTCACTGAAGAAACTTCACATCTGTAAATCTTGGACACATGCACACTGTATTTCTGTCACAACAGGTAATTAAAACACACATACATACGCAAATAAAATATGAACTTATTAGAGACAAAAAGCACACACAGGAAAAACAAGCAAACAGACAGTCAGAATTGCCGTTCTGCATTAGCCAACATATGTGCATCATCTCTTGGCATAGAGTTGTACAAAGTCCCTGACCTTGGCCTTGAATGATTCCTGTAGGTTTAAGAAGTAAAAAAACAATTAACACAAATATAACATTCAGTCAAGGTCATGATTTAACACAAAGTGTTGTTCGTCCAAGTTGAAGAAAAAATTAACACAAATATAACATTAAGTCAAGGTTATGATTTAAAACAAAGTGTTGTTCGTCCATCATGAGTGATGAAGACCACTTTCATCTAAAGTAATAATGATCAATGATTATAAGTATGAAGGTGGCTGATTAGTCCAATATGAGCCAGGAAAGGTTTTGAGCAGTGCGGACAACAGATGGAAGCCGCAGTAGGTGTTGGATTAGCAGTACGATTCTTTCTAGTCTGCCTCGTTTTCTCTGCCTGTGCAACCTCCGCTGCCTGGCAGGCCAAAGCACCATGTTTGAGGGACGTACACCACCAAGAACGGTCTTGTGCAACAGCCTCCCACATCCCTGTGTTAATGCCAAATGAAGTCTTCAGTTTCCTTTTAGCGCTTTTTCTGTCCTCCCTGGCAACTCTTCCCTTGCTGGAGCTCACCATAAAGTACTCTCTTTGGGAGGCAATAGTCTGGAATGCAGGTGACCAGCCCAACGCAGCTGACAATTCTTCAGTATCGTGTGGATGCTAGGCAGGTTTGACCTATCAAGAACCACAGTATTTGGGATCTTATCTTGCCATTTGATTTTGACCAGCTTTCTGAGACAGGTTATATAAAACTGATTCAACTTTTTAGCATGATGCTGATACACAGTCCACATTTCACAAGCGTAGAGCAGTACTGGAAGAATTGCAGCTTTGTAAACCTTTAGCTTGGTCAGCAGGGAGATACCACTTCTGTTCCAGACACTGGTATAAAGTACAAAGTAGGTCCTAACTAAATGGACTGCATGGTCCTAACTAAATGGACTGCATTTCCTCCATGATTCTGAACCGCTTGCACAGGATAGAGCGGAATGGAGGAATAGACTGCGAGCGTTATGTGACATGTAATGACACAACAGGACAATGAATGAATGTCCTAATTAGAGCCACAAATCTAACACAAAGCAAGTTGTGATCTAACACTAGGTTTGACATAACTTATGCTACATTTACCGATGGGCGGTCGGCATGATGTTAACCACATCGCCCACCAAGTGCTGACTGGTCTAAAAAATTGAGGTCCAGCCCTATATGCCTATTACGCCTGAAGGCATGGAAAAGGGTCCTTTACTTACATTTACTCATTACAGAAAACATAAAACATATATCATAAAATATGATCTAATACACTATGTTGTAACATACATCATGATCTAACAAATCTTCTTTTTAGTATTCACTGGCTGTAAACTCTATTGAAAGCTTTGGTTGTTCATTTACTTCTGGAGTTTGGTCTTGATCCACAACTTGAGGTTTGTGTGCATTTCCATTATCTGGTTTATTTGCAGGCAGACCATTGGCTCCTTGCCTCTCAGGCAGATGCACTCTGAATTCAAAGGAAACACCTCTAATTAGTCGCCTCTTACTATATGGTAGTTGGAAGGAAAAGGGGGGGGGGGGGGGAATGGGGAGTGGAGGATCAGTAAGTTTATTCACTGTTCTCCAAAACATAGCCCCTGAACCCTCATGGGGATTAAGTGCAGATGGAAAGAGGTAGGCAGACGAGGACAACAAACAAACAAATCCTTTCTTTGAAGAGGCAGATAGAAAGACATTCAGGTGAAGGAGGAAAAACAGGTGAGCGTCAGTAATCAGAGAAAAAGATGTACAGAGAAAAAGATAGAGAGACTAACCTTATCTCTGGCGTAGAGTTCTGCTGCTTCTACATTGAGTGGATCATCAAAGTTCAACAGATCCTGAAATAATCAGTAAATGAATGTGAAAACAAACATACGTTTCTAAAAGTGTAATATTCACGTGAGGAATTTGTCAGAAATGTATGTGGAGCTTTGAAAGAGAATGAAACAAATTCCAGTGAATCAAACGGGAAGGAAAAGGTGCTCACTAAAAAAAACCTTCAAATTATACAAACAATTTAGCTATTAAAAGTATCATCATCATCAATTTCCATTTCTGCTGTTAAGCATTGTGGGGAGAAACAGTTTACGATCAAATCATTTGTCTTCTGTATAAGTATAAATACTGAATACTCAGGAATGACATCCTATCACAGAGTTTCATAAAACATACAGTCAAACATATTTATCAAATGAAGAAACAAATGTGAACAAAAGTGGGAGGATAGGGAATGAGATATGTGCAAGAAGAAAAAAAATATGATGACTTGTTATCTAGCCAAACCATCCATGTCCTTTTTTCAAGCCCATCCTATGTAAACTGAAACTGAGTTAAGAACTGACATCATAACTCTCAGGACATCACTAGAAGCACTACGTCCCCATCTTCAGCAGCAAATGCAGAGTACCAGCAGCAGTCTGATTGTATGGCCGTCTCACGTTTCCCTTAGTGCTGCAGGTCTGCCAGATCTCCTGGTCATCCCTGCTGCATCATTCGCTTCAGACCAGGATGATCTGTTTGTGTCTCTGCCCCGTTGACTCGCTCCCAAAGGACACCCACAACATCTAGCTTGTCATTTTACCACCCAGTGGTGCAGAACCAGCCAGTCTGTCTGTCTCTTCCTGACTGTCCTGGAGAAAACATCCAAAGGACTCTTACTACCTGGGACCTCTGCAGCGATGCTGACACTCTGCTCACAGAATATTTGTCTCCACCTGTCTCAACATTCATTCACATCTCATCTTCTATCATCTTGCAGTAATACTTGTCTACATCTTGGGATCTTAAACAGGTGTGCTGACACCCTTCCAAGTTATGTTAAAAGGCTGTCAAGAATCTTCTCTTGTGCCTTTCTATATTTTGTTTTCCATAAATCATTATAATTGTTACCATGTGTTCCATTTTGTACCTTTTCTTGCATACTGTAATGTGGCCAGAAAATTATGACTTTCTCTTTTTGATGTTCATGATAGGTTGTCTTTTGATCCTTATCTCTTTCACAACATCTAGATTTATTATTTTGACTTGAAGTAATTTTAGGCATTAATAAAAACAATATAGCCTTTTAGGCTTTATTTTTGGCTTGTTTACTAACTGTCTAGGAGTCACAGCCATTAATTCTATCATATCAACTAAGTAAATTGAAATAAAAATAAAAAAAGATACTTACAGTAAAAAGGGAATTTAATCCCCAGACAACATCTTTCAGTTTTCTTGTGGGAGCCCAACCTGTAAATCAATCAAATCAGTCTGCACTCCATAGTTTGCAACACTGAACACGTGACACACACATACCACTCACCATAGCAACAGCTTTGAAATTTCAGGACGTGTGTAATTCCCGCTTCTCTTTTCTCAATATTATAATTTTCTTCAGCTATGATGAAATTCTCGGACATTCTTTTAGTCATAAACCTTTTCCTTTCATTTACAGTCTCTATCTTTAACCAACCTCCTTTTTTAAAAACAATTTCTAGTCAAGACTATAGTAGCAGAAGTTATGCTGCCTGGAAAGAGTTACAGGAGTCGACCAGCAATGAAGATGGGCACAGGATATAAGTGACATGTCGGGTAGGAAAGTGTATGAGACAGTGAGGTGGGAGATCCGACGAGAGACTACGTTTCTTTCAGGCAGGATTTGAGGAAAGCGAGGCTATGCAAAAATCTGCTACATGACGATGAGCCATGACTAAACTCTACATCACCATCTATTTATTCTCTAGAATCTGTTTCTGAAGCCACAACTACCTTACAATACAAGCTGGATGAGCCATGACTAAACTCTACATCACCATCTATTTATTCTCTAGAATCTGTTTCTGAAGCCACAACTACCTTACAATACAAGCTGGATGAGCCATGACTAAACTCTACATCACCATCTATTTATTCTCTAGAATCTGTTTCTGAAGCCACAACTACCATACAATACAAGCTGGATGAGCCATGACTAAACTCTACATCACCATCTATTTATTCTCTAGAATCTGTTTCTGAAGCCACAACTACCTTACAATACAAGCTGGATGAGCCTTGACTAAACTCTACATCACCATCTATTTATTCTCTAGAATCTGTTTCTGAAGCCACAACTACCTTACAATACAAGCTGGATGAGCCATGACTAAACTCTACATCACCATCTATTTATTCTCTAGAATCTGTTTCTGAAGCCACAACTACCTTACAATACAAGCTGGATGAGCCATGACTAAACTCTACATCACCATCTATTTATTCTCTAGAATCTGTTTCTGAAGCCACAACTACCTTACAATACAAGCTGGATGAGCCTTTTTTCAAACCTTGTAATCTGGATATTTATAACCACACAAAGGTAACTTACAAACTATCCTGTTAAATGTGACCAGCATCAAGGAAATCGCCATGTGTTTGTTGGTGTCAATGAACATGATCAACTTTTCTCAGCTTCTTGTGGTCCATCCAGCTACTCATGGTTTCAGGAAACATACTAGGTTTCTTGGCGACATAACTCTTCAGACCCAAACATTTATTTGTGAGCCAAAATCAACCAAGAGGAATGATCTAGTTCTTTAAAAAAAAAAATGCCACTGGCTTGATTCTTATCAGGTAACTGATAAGGACTTAATTACCACATACTGAACTGGCAGCTACTTAAAATGGCAGGAGCTATGACAATTAAAATAAACAATCCCACATTATGCAGACAAGATGAGCATGTGGTTAATTCGAAACTGCTCTAGTGGTCCCGCAGCTATCTTGAGCTTCTGGAAATGAACGGTGATCTCCCTAGAAGACAATATAATCTGCGTATTTAAGTGGAAAAGATTCACTTGTTGTTCTTCGTTATATGTTGATTAAATCTGTAGTAACGCACCTGAAGAGATACAGTGACACATGCCATGCAATATAATGTTTGTAGCCTGCACTATTTAAATTCACTATGGAAACATACTGTTTTGAATTAATCAGAGCAACAATTTTGTTACAATATGTAAAGAAAAAGTTGAAAGATACTGAAAGAGTTAAATGTGGTTGCCTTGCAAGACCCAAACATGAAATTAATAATGCTGGCTGAGAGAAAAACATAAAACCTACCCAGACTGTCGTATGAATTTTGCCGCAAGAGACTGAGGCAGACTTCACCAAGCTCTGTAATGTTTGGGTGATACAGCCTCGTCTGACAGCTAACTTTTGGAGGCTGTAACATGACAAACACAATGGATGAATATACTGTCAAGTACAGGAACAGATGTCAAGCATTTCCATTAAATATAAGAATAACCAAATGAACAAATATTATTTTCAAAGGGTTAAAGTCTATTCATTTGTCTGCAAATGTGCAAACTAGTTATAATTATTTTTGAGGATTGGCCCTAATCACCTGGTGGGGGGGGGGGGGAGGAGGAACAGTAATGGCACCAGGAAAAGACAGGAGTTGACCTGAATGGCACATCTGTAGGGTGAGATGTCGACAGCATTGTTACATCTCCTTGTATGTCATTTCTGATATAGGTCACTATGCCCCGGCAGTCATTGCACTTGCAGGCATAACTAGTATATCCAGTGAGATGCAGATCAGAGTCTTTATGCAGGGTTTCTTGTAGGGCAGCCACGTGTACCCTGTGGTTGTTTAGCAGTTTGGCAAGTTCAAGTTTCTTATTTCTTATTCCACAGATGTTCAGCTGCAGAATATTGAGCATCTGTGTATTTTTTGCTGTGCTGTCTGAGTTCTCTTTGCTCTCACTCCCACTCTTCCTCCTCCTGGGGTGTCTAATTTTCCTATTTATTTCAGAGTGCCAGCTATGTATGTACCCCTACGAAACTGTTGAACACCATCACTTTGAGTGCCCAAAACTCAGTGAGACAAGAAGAACGCTACTCCCTCCGAGACCAGACAAGTGGAACACCTTGTACGGAGGAAAAGAACAGCTTGTGAAAACATGCAAATTCCACTACATGGCATTGGGCCAAAGGGCGAAAGCTCATGCGTCGCTGGATCGATAACAACAACAACCTGAATGGCAGTGGACAGAGGATATCAGCGACACTGGCAATGAAAGTTGAAAAGTGACAAGACTGGCTTTGTGGCATTCAATGATAACAGCAACGGTCTGCAAAAGGACCTACTACATAATGATGATGATGATGACGAATCCCCTACTATATCAGAGTCCTGACATCTTTGAGACAAGCATTGGTTATATAGATACAGTGATAAGTGACTGACCATACAAATCATCATGTGTCACACATAGGGAAATAAATGAATAAACATCTATGGTAAGTGAACATACAAACCTATTATCAGTTTCACACAGACTGCTGACAGAGACCTGCAGTCAGCTTAAAGTTACTGTCAATAACGCAGAGAGAAATGCAGTCTGCTGCACACAGAGGTGTGGTCAGCTGTACACAGAGGTGTGGTCAGCTGTACACAGAGGTGTGGTCAGCAGTATACAGAGGTGTGGTCAGCAGTATAAAGAGGTGTGGTCAGCAGTATAAAGAGGTGTGGTCAGCAGTACACAGAGGTGTGGTCAGCAGTATAAAGAGGTGTGGTCAGCTGTATATAAACACATGGCTAGTTTTGTAGAGCCCAACTGTCTCCTATGCAACAGTAGCAGAAATCAATAAGTGGCTTTCTATACACACAGTACAATGTGCTGACTCACCACAATATTATATTCTTCAGGCACTGAGACAACAAATTTGAAACGACCTCCTTGCCAAAAGCCCGAGTCTGGAGATACTGTCAGGTAGAACTGGTGCAGACAGCTTGGGTCAGTGAAGATGGCCTCACACGTCCCAGGCATGTTCTCTTCCATCTCTTGCACCTCTAGACAAGCATGCATGATGAAGAAATAAAACTGACATTCACACTCTCTTGTTATTAATAACAATGAGACACAGATATAAATGCATTTGTTTATCCCTAACAGATTAGCAATATTAATGAAAGGCACATAGAAGTATTTGTACAATAATATATCACCAAAAGATTAGCAATTATTTAAACACACATAGACATACAAGTACATGGATTTATTACCAATAGATTAGCAGCATAAAAAAATAAATAAAAAAGAAAGTCATAGATACTAGGATACAACGATTTATAGCCAACAGATTAGTACTATCGGTAAGAACAAACAAACTATGCATACATACATTTCATCATCTAAGACAGGGCTACACGTTTCATCATCTAAGACAGGGCTACACATTTCATCATCAAAGACAGGACTACACATTTCATCACATAAGACAGGGCAACACATTTCATCATCTAAGACAGGACTACACATTTCATCACATAAGACAGGACTAAACATTTCATCACATAAGACAGGGCTACACATTTCATCATCTAAGACAGGACTACACATTTCCTCATCTAAGACAGGACTACACATTTCATCACATAAGACAGGGCTACACATTTCATCACATAAGACAGGGCTACACATTTCCTCATCTAAGTCAGGGCTACACATTTCATTATCTAAGGTAGGCCAACATATTTCATCAACTCAGACAGGGCTACACATTTTATCACCTAAGACAGGTCTAATTAACTAAGTTTTTCCTCCGTAGCCAAAATGTTGAAAATGGGCAACATCCCGGGTCAGAGGCCTATGACCCAACATAGAAAGATCATTAATACAATACAATTTGCAATGATCCACAGGCCACTTGCTAGGCGTCTGCAGTCCTGATTTGGCCCGTGTACCACCAGCTGAACAGCCCATATATAAGAAATAACAGCAGATGATGACTGAAAAAAACAGAAACTGACCTTTTACCAATAGTTTATCACGAATGGAGAGTCTCCGTGTGCCAGAGTCCACTTGCTCGGAAGTCTTCTTTGCCTGCTTCAACTTCAGTGTAATCATCTGTATTATACAAACTATGATTTAAAACTATGATATATATGTAATACAAAAACTACGATATATATTGCTAAAAACAATTTACAGACCACTTAAAATTTTTCAGGCCATTTAGACTAAGCTGTTGTGTTTTATTTTTAAACCTGAACACTCAACCAAAAACGTTTTGTTGCATGCTTAAATATTTGTCTGACAATAAATCAAATCTATGTTACTGAGTGTACCTCCAAAATCATTCAAACATGTATAGTGGAAAGGACATTTTTTGAAAATTCCTCATGTGGCAAAGCCTGTTGATAACATTGCTATAATGAACAAATGTCACCCAACTTTTAGGAAAGAATGGACAATGGGTGTGTCTGTAACATTTACGTTTTTATCCATGGCTCAGCAAAGACGCCTGACAAATGATGACAGATGGAAAGTGATAGCATGGCTGTTGGATGATGCAGGGCTATGAGCAGTTGCCCACTCTCTCATATAAACTATGTCCGATCGTTATAATGCAACCCAGTGTCGCAGAACAACGCAGGTCAGGACGTCCAAGGTCTACCACAAGACATGTTTGTTGTTTTTGCCCTGAGACAAAGGACAACTACTGCAAGCGCAAGCTAAGGAAGGTGCAACTGAAGAACAACCTGACGTAACAGTCTCTTATCAACAGAAGAAGACAATCAATTAAATCACAAAGCCACCAAAACCGACAAAAGACAATTACCATATAATGGAAAGACCAGAGCTAGTCATTATTCTACGCCTAAGAACAGGACACAACCGACTTCACAGCCACACTTACACAAAATTTAAGATTGGCAAATCAGCCATGTGCACATGTGGATTAGCACCAGAGACAACAGATCACGTCTTCCAAGACTGTTCCAAATACAATAAACACATCAAGGCAAAACTTTTGGCCAAGAGAAACTCCGGTGCAAGACAAACTTTATGGGCCGCTTATTGAATTACAACAGACAGTGAAGTTCCTACTACAGACAACACTGCAGATATAGATAAATTCAAGCGAATGAAAGGCAAAGAAGAACTGCCAATGCCATCAGGAGACAACTGTGAAGAGCCATCAATGCAATTGTCAGTGACCAAACCATATGAAACTGATGAGAGATGCAGATCTGCATGCAAAGTGACCTGTCTTGGCTTCAGCTCACTGCGCAGCTCGTCTGGCTTCGACTTGGCATCATGTGACCTGGACAAAGCATCAGTGAAGCAGAATTCTGTTCACACCACTCACAGATAGCAAAAATTGTGTCTAGAGGTACCCAAGTGAATGCTATGATGATGCCAATATCCTTTAACATGATCGTTTTTTTGTTGGATTCGTAATTGTGTGGTGCAGAATTAGTGTGATCTCCAGAATACCCTGCTTGGTACCTTGAATTGTTTGGCCTACAGAAATGACATCTTATGGCTGCTTTTGCTTATGGCACTTCTAGTAGGCCCTGATTATATCCTGCAGGATGTTGATACCTGATCACACAGAGCTAGGATCATGAATGACTTCCTACAAGTGCAACATGTCCCCTGCTTAGACTGGCCAGCCTAATCACCTGATCTCAGTCCAATAGAACATGTATGGGATATGCTAGAATGAGGACTTAGAGAAAAATCATCCACCTGCTATCTACCTCAATCGGCTGTTGCTCTTCTTGAAGCAAAATATCCCACAAATGACTCTAAGAATTTTTTGTCTTATCAGTAAGGCAAAGGCACAGTGAATGCATTATTCAAGTTCATGGTGGACACACCATGTTAACTTATGTTTCATGATTCTGAATTTTCAACACATACACAAATAAAGGTGGGGGGGGAGATTTACAATGATTTTTTTAAACAAATAAAATAACTGGTTTTTCTTCATTTTATCTTAGTGTAATGTTCAGTGAAAGCCAATTATGATATGTGAGTTTCATAATTGTATTTTTAATTTTAAAAACTGCAGGACTTTGTAAGTGGTCGTTCAATTTTTTTTAAAAGCAGTTTATATGTAATATACACACTATGAATAACATACCACAACTTAACAAAACTTATCTATTGTTGACAAGCCCAAAAAAAAAGTGTAAAATGTGAACTATGATGCATCACTCTGCACAAAAACTATGGAAAACCTACAATATAAAAACTTTATTATTTCTAAAATAGACAAAACAATATATCTGCAAATTACAAACTATGATAAAAGCAATATATAAACAAAGTCACTTATAACTATACAAACAATATTTCTACAATATACAAACTACAATTAAACATTTTCAATATACACAAATATGTGACTTTACAAACTACGACATATCTGTAATATACAAACTATGACCTCTAGACACATACACGCCTTCCCCTAAACACACACATATGACTTCAACTAGTGTGTCTCTTGCAAATGAAACCTTTAGTTGTTAGCACCGCATAATATGGAGCTGTCGTGGTGTAGCGGCTAGATGCTCGCATGCGGGTTCGGGCTCCACTTTAAAAAAAATTACCTTGGCTCCCAGGCCGGTCCAACCTTAAATGGGTACCAGGTACAGTCATTGGATGCAAAGGTGGCCATGTGATATTGACCACATCACCACCTGAGTGCTGATTGGTCTATAAAATATAGATCTAGCCTTATATGACCAATACGCTTAAAGCGTGCGAGAAGGGTTCTTTTACTGCATAAAATGTGAGAAGAGTCAGACCTTGCAGGGTGAAATGGTTCAGTGCCAAGTTACTTCACACAATGACACTTTGCTCTCATGGACAACGGCCAGCTGACTAGCAGTATCCACACCCATTAACAGGCTTCTCTGGAGAAAAACAATTTAAACAAATGTTAAAATTTCTTTTCTTTTCGTTGGTGCAACATTTTAATCTGATCCAGTTTCAATAACAATATACTTTTTGTTTTTTGTAAACAGTAACGGGTTGTCAACCCCTTGCCCAAATCCCAGCCTACAGAATTATCCTGCTAGTTTGGTTTCACCCTTCTCAAAATTCTATTAAACTTGTTTAAACCAGCGAGTCGCACAAGTCAATGTAAGCATAGCTCTGAGAATCATTACAGCACACAAGCCACCACCATCCAACCATGACAAGGCACTATCCAGTATCTGAATTTTATATATGTGTGTTTTTATGTATATATATATATATATATTTTTTTTTACATACACATACCAGTGACAAGGCGTGAGGGAACGGCTGTAATCGACGCTCACACTTTCCAATGCAAAAGAAAAACACATTATTTTACTATTATTACTGTTTATTATTTATTACAAATACACCACTTAGTTTTATGTCTCGCTGAGCACGTGTCGTAAGTTTGTTTATATAGCAAAAAGAAAGTTCGCTGCATGCTTACTTCCCTGTAACATGCGACCGCCATCAGTTACAAGTCCTAACTCCACTGTTATGAACTAATACAGACAAGTCAGTCACCATTTAATGGAGGAAATGGGGACCGAGGGGCTTCATCCTTGCACACTGTCACTGTGTGCTGGTGAGTTTATTGAAAAATCATTTGGTAGGCTTAATTACAGTAAAAAAATGTAATATAATAAATCAAGCAGGGGAGGCTAACACCGCAACTCCTTGCCTTAAGTTACCTTCATGAACTATTGATTTTGTTCTAAACCGATTACACGGGAGAAATGAGCATGCCTCGCCACTAAGACACCCACATTTATCGGACAAATGCTACTAGAAGATTTTTTTATAGATCGGTCAGTACTCAATGGGATGGGTAATGTCAATACCACGTGACTGAAATCTTTCCAGACGACAGTGTTATACTGTGTTATAGGGAGGCAAGGGAAATATAGCCCACGGATAGTGAATATGACTAGCAGGAGCCACTTGCATGTTGCATAACACAAAGCCTGGGCAGTTTTACAGAAATCATGTGTTACTCGTGGATCATGATCTCCCTCTCAGCCTGCTTTGTTTATTCCAAAGGAAAAGTAACACTTGTAACAAAGCAGACTGCAGAAGCTGCCAGATCAGCATCTAAGGAATAAGGATTTCCAGTCTGCTCATTAATTACAATCATCAGCCATCTTTATTTCCCAAGACATTAAATGGTACCCAGTTTAGGTTAAGTCAATCTAGACCATTTTTTAAAGCCATCCAATGCTGGTTCAAACTGTGCTACCATGGCTCTCCAACAGATCTCATATGCTCACTGTATAAGAACCAGCGAGCAGGTAATATTGTAATAATGCCTCTGACACCAAATATCTGAGCTCTTTCTTTCCTGGTTCACTGTTGAATGGGATCCATTGTAGCTGATGCATTCAGAAAAGTGGATCTCATATTTCAGTTGCTTGCTGATTTCAAGTACCTGGAGAACAGGCAATGCTTCAGTACACAAGAGAACACTGTAGCACATGCACACTGTAACAGTTATTAGCAGCTGGACATTTCACCTCCAGCCCAAAGGTGATGGGTTTCAGTCAGATTTAAATTAAAAAACAAGACCTCTGGCTTCCAGGTTGAGGCAGCCTAACACTGGTACTGGGTGAAGACCTTAAAAGTAAACGTGGTCGGCATGAAGTTGATCAAGTCACTCACTCAAAGCTAATTGATCTACACAAAGTATTCTAGCATCATTATTCATCAAATGGCTGATGCCCATAATCACACATGCCAGTTGGCGAAGCATTTTGTCCATGAATGCTGGAATTATAATTCTCAAAGCAAACAGTAATAGGAAGAAACTTGATAGAAAATATGATAAACTAATAAATACATAAAATCTTCAGAATAACGGTCCCAAATTATCGAGGCCGAAAATATACCCTAACAGGGCCTCAGTCACGTGTCAATTGCAGACTTCCGGCGACTTAAATTGCTCACTTCCGGCGACTATTGCCTTCGCCGAGAATATCTCCCATGCCGCTACGCGCGGCGTGGATTGGGGCTAAACTAGATGGCTGGGACTCATGAGCAGCAGCTACCGCATTTCCTGCAGTTTCCTTTTATTTGCTTGTGAGTCCCATCCA